ATATATATATGTAACCAGAAGCAGAGTGCTTTTGCTTGAGAGACAGAATGTCTTTCAAATGAATCATAACGTTCACGGTTATAAAAATTTTTTCCCTCTAATGTTCTGAAACCGTTTACAGCTGGATAATATAAATCAACTGTACCTTAGGATCAAGAGGACCCGTTCCATTATTTTGAATCCATGGAGTTATGAAGTCGGTACAATTGGTGTCATAAGGCGCTGGTAACAGGGTGGTTTGAATCTTTGGAAGAAAAAAAAGGATGATTATATGAGATTTAATCATAGTCGAGTTTACACAATCAAATAATTTTTTATCCTGTGTCCTTATTTTTAATGGCCAGCGTAAAAATACTTCTTCGCTTGAATTTCGATATCTGAGATTTTAACTGTGCTCCGAAACCTGCTATTATAACTGTTTCTTATCTGCGGAAGATATAAGATTCGCTTACCTGCGTGAAACTTAAGATAGTTTTTATTATAATGGTTGAAAATGTTTCCAGTCGAATCTTTCATTATTTCATTCAAGAGAGTATAAAACTAATATTTGATATTTTTCAGCTCCATAAAACGATTAGAAACATTAAAATATTATCTGATCTAATTAATTAGCTTATTTAAGGTTAAGCTCTTTAACCATCATATTAATTTTTAGATCATGAATTCCGATCATAAGTTTGTTATTGAATTGCTTATAGTTATTTTTTAGATCTTTGCAAGTAAAAGCAACAGAACATAATCATCTCATTTATGGATTGCTGAAATGGGAAAAAATTGATTTACTCTGAGTCATATCTCTGTAGAATAATGAGAGATTACTGACTGTGTGCCTTAAACAAAAATGCTGAGCTTCAAATAAAATTTAAAACTGATTATGTACATTTTGCTTTTAACTATCAGAAAATTTAAATTTATATGAAAAAGAAGTATTTTTCTAAGCAAAAAATTCAGGATCATTTTTCGGAGAATTAATCTGCATATCCTTTCGTTCAAAGGCTTTAAACGTCTAGTTTTCCAATTGCAGAGGATAGCACGAAGCTTGAGGTCTAGATCCTGGATATGAGGGAAATCTCGGCGTTTAGCGCGAAGCGCAACTAACCAACTGGTCTACACTGGAATAGTCATGCATTAGAAGGCATGAATACCCGTAAGGAAATAAAACGTAGAAAATGAAATCCACAGGAGATTTCTGTGAAAGTCAGGGGTGATGAATTCTTTTAACTAGTAGAATTCCACGTCTAATTCTGGGTTTTGGGAAGAAGAGAACAAAGAAGCTTAGCAAGCTCCTGATCCTTTAAGAGTTCTTACATTTCCCTGAAAAGACCCAAGAAGCGGCTGGCAGTGTCTGTGTCTTTCTTGGATTGGGTCTTTCTCTCCTTCGGCTGTTTCCTGGGTCTTGCACAGCAGCCCGTGAAACAGGCCGGGTACTCACCGTTGCAGTTGACGCAACTCGCCGGGTCAGATCTAGGCTTCGTACACTGGTACGAGAAGTGGGCTCTGGCACATTCAGCAGGCAGGATCGGGAGATGTGTAACTTTGCTCAGTATGGTCATATTTTTGATATCAGTAACATTATATCTGGTAGCGTCCTTTTCGGAAACGCTCCACCAGAACTGGACACTCCAGCAGAGATCTGATGCTAAAAATGCCCATACTCGAACTGGTATTTTATGGGAAGGTGAGGTAAAGTGGGAAGAGCTTATACTCATGCCTGCTTCTTCTCTTGAGTTTGCACTATTTTCCGTGAATTTAGTCCAAATGCTTGAAATTTTTTCTCCAAATCTAAAATTTTGGTGTCGATGCTTAGTCCTCTGATCTGAGTTTTCAGCTTTTTACTCGATGTAGATTCTTTTGAAACTGTAGTTGAAATGGGTGGGTCAGCAGTCTCCGGAGCCTCTTCTCCCTCTCGCTCTGGAATAGCGCATTGTGCAGCTCTAGTGCGACGTAAATTAACAACAACAATCAACCCTCTCGCTCCGTCTGTACTGTAGCCTCTGGTGTTGAGGAAACTGTTTCTATTTCAAGGCGGTTGGATTCGCCGTCAGAGTCTGTGTCTACTTGCATCTTCATGATGACGCAAATCTTCTTTTTCGCTTTCCTTTTCTGCTTTTCAGTAGGAGGATTCAGATGGGGATTATCTGTCTTTATGTCGATTGGGCCAGAAGGCTCCTTTTATATCAAAACTCTCTCTCAATTTAATAATTTCCTTGTTGTCATGATATAGTTTCTTTGCTTCCCTTTGATCTTTTATATCATCAGTGTTGATATCTCATACGTTTCAGCTCGACGAGCTTAACTGGAAACTTGCTGATATGTAGATATATATCAGGATAATGTGTTGTATTAGGCAGTCGGAAGGGATAACCTTTCCGAAGTGGACAGTTCAATGGTAAGGCATGAGTCCCACAGAACTAGTTATAAGACAATCGCACTCTCATATCTAAGAGTCAGGTCGCTGCACTCTTCCCTTAAATGAAATTTTGTTCTGATGCGAAGTACTCAAAAAAGTAAACTGACTAACCTGTACAACTTTTGATCTAAGGATCTGATCTTCAAGTTCTAGGTTTCAATTTTAATGGCTCCAAAGGATGGCGTCAAACATGCTAATTAACAGATTATGGTTACTGATGATTGGTACAGACGATGTCTTAAATTTAAAATCCGGCACAAAAATGTGCTTTTAATGAATAAACATAGCTTCTCTTCGTCGCATTCGGATAGCTGACCCCCAAAATAAAGGGGGTAGCCCACTCTGAGAAATAGGGTCCCAATAGTTTCGTTAGATAGCGGTCCTTATTTCGGACCCCTTATAGTTAATTTTCGTTTCTGAGTATATCGATAACTTTTCAAGCGAATTGAAAAAGTTTTACACACAATTATAATATTCATTTATCCAACGATAATACCTTACAAGCACGACTTTTTGAAACTCTATTTCTCAAGAACAATTCAACCGATTGCTCTCAAATTTTGTATCTTTCAATGCAAAATAAAATCGGTAAAAATGTTGCGAAAAATTTATTCTTTACAATTCAACATGTTTCATATTATTAATAAAAAAAATAATTAAATAATAAAAATTTTTGGAAATTTAATTTTTGCATACAAGTATCTTTAAATAAAAAAATTTTACAATTTTTTGCTAATTTTTTGTTCCAATTCGTTTAAAAAGTTCGTGGGATATGGTGAAATACGCAAAAAATAAAATTTACTTCAAAGAGTCCGAATTTTTGTCCGTTCTCCTGTCCAAAGTATTGGGACCATATTTCCCACTATACACCTATCCCCTATATTTTGGGGATCATTAATCCGAATCCATTGAAAAAAAGATATTCAAAAGAAGTTCTTTTTGTGTCTGATGTCGTAGCTTAAGATATCGTCTGCACTAATTAATTAGCGTATTTAAGGTCCCCCCCCAAATTGAACCATTTAGTTTGAGTCCTAGAGCGTAATGATCCGATTATTAGATCAAAAGTTATTCAGGGTAGTCTTTTTTTTTGTCCTGTACATTTATGAAGTTAGTTACAAATTTAGACTGAATGATTGCATTCGTTAAAATAACTATCATTGTAAAATGAGAACTTTGAAATTCGCATTCAATATTTAAAGATGACATTCGATGCGAAATGTCATGTTTATTTTAGCATTGGTTTAGTTGAAATGTTGGTTTAGATGCACCATTTAGATGATATAAGACCAAATGTCCACAGATTTGTGGTATATTGGCTCCAAAAATGCTTAACTCACCTTGGACACCGTCGAAAATTCATTATTCTTATTTGGGATGTTCAAAGTGAAATATATTCTCAAACATTCTAATTTTTTTTTAAAAAAAGGGCTTGGAATCTGTATTTCTGAAAATTATTCTAAATAATGGCATTCCTTGATTTCCTAAATAAATTATTAACTCGAACGACCCAGAGATTGAAACATTGCAATCTGACTATATAATCCCAAAGTGATGTTAAAAAAATGGATCATCCTTATAACTTCCGAGTAGTTGGTCAGATTTTTATCTTGTTAGGAGCTTTTTATTTTATTTTATGACCCTCGTTGAACAGCTGACCCAATTTTCAGGTTAACGACTACTAATCTTCATCTCCGCAGCTTTGTAATTTTGAACCGAATTTAGAAGACAAGGGAACCCCCTGGATCAAGTATTGGGAGAAATTTGAATTCGTCGAGGGCTCTTTGATGGTACTAACCCGCATCTGCGTTACATGGAGAGGAAGACCACGAGAATCTTCCACGATTAACCTGACTGCAAGGGGACTCTAACCCATGATCCGCCTACCTCCTAAGATATTTAACGTCAGCATTGTGGTTGGTGCAAGGTAGATGCGGATGCATATCAACCAGCCATGGCTGTGATTCGAACCTGGTTCACCTCATTGGGAAGCTCTATTAAGGAATTGATGATAACTGTAGAGAAATAAGCTTATTTTCACTACAAAAAATGCACTGATGAAGTTAGCAATAATTTTTTTTTTGATCTCTAGTATCCAATATCATTTAAAGCAAAGCCGATAAAAGTACCCAACATTACGTGGTTGTTTGGCTCTCAAATGCCTAACTGTGTCAAATGTCTCAAAGGCATATTAATTTAATTTGAAATGCTGAAAAAAATAAAATTATTTACAGTTTTTTGTGAGTTATTTCAAGACGCTTAGTGATTTGGATTTTATTATATTCGTTTGTTTATTTTTCTATTTTGCAATACCCACAATATAAGATTTAAAATGAAACTCGCACGCAATAAGAAATTTGTCCTATTCACTTTTTTCCTTAATTCTGTATATTTCAATCATCAGTAGTTTGATAGGTTGTTTGAATGAAAGAAACAGGATTACAATTCCCCAAGCATTCTAAAATATGTATCCAAATATTTTCATTTTTTGCCGGAAAGGTTACGGAAACTGAATTTTGTCCATATGACCTCTGGGGCCCTATTACCAACTCATCGAAATTTATTCCGCTCGGAAACGATTCCGATCGGAAACTAGCTTTCATCGGATTGCCAATTTCGTAGAACCCACTTTGCCGTAACATGAGCATATCCAAATCCGGAATCAAAATCGCCATTCCGTACGATTCCGGTGATTGGCCTTGGAATCGTACGATTCCGTACGATTCCAAGGCGGGGATAACTTTGACCAATTAGAAAATTATTCTAATTATAATTTAGTAATCTGGCAACGATATGTTTGTATTCTCTACTTCTATGCGAGTTAAAATCGCATTAACTTAGAACTGAAAGCTTAAAAATTCATACATTTTCAACAATTTTGTGTTCTAAAAGCCAAGTTTGTGTTTATTTGAAGTATAGAGAGTAGTGTAGAGTGAAATTACAACGTAGTATTTTCAAATGGCTTCACGTACAAAAATTAATATTCGCCTCCAAACAATGATTGTGGAATACCTAGAAAACAATCCAGATTAAAATAAAGGAAGCCTTACCGGCATATCTGGCGTAATTACCACTATAAATATTAAATACCAAATCACTACTATATAAAACATGTTAACTTGCATCCATCTTAAAGTACCATAAGATAGTTGAAGGATAAC